AGATGTAGGGTTTAGATTTTTTGTGCACTACTAACCACCGAAATTGGTGAGAAGTACTTATTCACGACCTCTATGTTTATTAAGGTGGTTTCTATTCATCGAACTGAATGGGAATCTTAATTCCCAACCACCGAATACCACTTGATGAAATTAGGACTCATTGATATTATCGTGCATGTCGGATATAACTGACTCCAGTTTCGTAGAACACTTTCCACTCCGTTGCTAATGAACATATACTAGCGATGATGAAGACAGGAAACCTATCTTAACTCTTAGTTGACCCCTGCTTGAGTAAAGCCGACCTCACTATAGTTTTGTATGCGTGGGGTTCCTCTGGAATTTGATGCGGTGATGTCCACAACACCGCAGCATTTGAGCATCTATCTGAGCGCTTTCAGTGAATTTGCAGGGAACGGCTCCCGGTTCCGCAGGTGATCCAATCCACCAGAGCGAATTCATATTACTGCGCATGTTGTTTCGGATCAGAGTTTAGCCACTTCTAGACAGGCAGTCAATAGTTCGCCAACCAGATCCAAACGTCTGATACCTACATTCGTCCTTTCACGTTACTGACAAGAAGAAAACAGAAAGGACTGTACTCCTTTTCCAAGATGTCCCAAGTGACATCAGTTCAGAGATCAGTCTCAACGTCGTTGTCGATAGATAAGGTGAAATTAGCGGACTGTTTATCGATGGCTTTTTTTTCAGAAGCGGCGTCGTAATTCTTGAGCTGCATCCAACCCTGAGCGACTCGATGCAAAGCGGAATCAAAAAATATGTAGCTCGTGGTGATTCCAGCAGATCCGCAGCTGTTCTATACTTCTCATGTTAAAAATCATTACACTTATCATCGCTACAGTGGAATCTCAAGGTAGCCCGTACTCTGTGTGTTTTACTGAATAACAAGAAATACCATCAGGTCTCCGGTTTCAGCAAGCTTACCATGCAATTTAACTTTAAGGAAGCTATCGAGTTACGTGCGAACGGATAATTCAATGGGAATCCTGTAAAATAGTGTACAGGATCCTAATTCCCTATTTCGATACGCCGTGAATGTTGAAGCCAATCTACTTAGTTGATTTCATTTGGCCCACCCTACTGAACAAAATCAACTTCGAAATGCAACGTTCCTATTAAGCACTAAGCTACAAAGAAGTAGGTGCGTAATCGATCGCGACATTTTAGTCTTATGGGTAGCTTCATCCAGCTGCAGTATCAGGTTTCCGTAGTGAATATCTGGTGCCAGTTTTGTGATAAAACTCATAAAGTAACTACCTTTCCTAACTATAATTATGAAGGCTGGTATTTTTCGAGAAAAGTCTCGGGGTTTCTGCCAATCTGAGTCGAAATTAATGAATAGTGTTGGGTTCACAAGTTCAAAAATTTTTAGCATGAGCGAAATAGGCTGTCGGCTGGTCCCAGGCTCTGAATAATAGATGGTCTATTTCGGTCAAATCGTTTATTTTTTTAGCATCTGTGAAGATACCAGTTCTATTGAGTTTACGAGGCCATTTAGCAGTCTTTTTCTGTATGATCCGATTCGTTTCTTGACTAGCTCATACAAACAGGTGAATTTTTATGGATGCGTGGTAGCCAGGCAAATGGCCTTTTACATTGGTGGTTAGCCAAGGCTAAGTACAGAAGATCCCAATAGGGCAGTCTGGTTAGACGTGACTCAGCGTTTCTTTTGTATTGGATTTATAGATAAAACAGCTTCTTTGCGACTATTTCCTTTTGCTAACGAGCTCCAAAGCTGAACAGTACGGACTAGCCTTGAGTTCTCTAATCTGACAGCCAGCATCTTGAGGTTGTCTGCAGTTCCCAGATTGGTTCACGTTTCTGTACGCTGTTTGTTTGTTCATTTGTTGGTTACCAGAAGCGATACTTGCTGGAAGTACAGTTGTTCGCTGAGATCCTCATTCTCAATATGAATTGGAATATTCAACACATTTTAAGGGTGAGCTGAAGTCCTTGTAGCCGTAGACTTTCAGTCCGCCTTAATGTTTCTGAATGCACCGAAAGGTTGCCCATCGACTGTCCCACTTTCTAAAAGTCGATGGATAGGCATACAAGTCCTCTCTTACCGTCGACAAAACACTGACTGATACTGCCAACTAAAAATCTAGTGTCTCAAATATCTCAACATGTGTCCAACAGTGCAATCCACTTGGATGATCGGATTTGGTAGAAACTGGTGCCGATTTCACGGCGTTAGACTACATGGCCTTTCGGGTACAAAGTGCATGCTTACTTGAGTGGCCATGTACATGACTCCGAACTACACGTGCAGCTAACAAGTAAGATAATCCGCACGTTCTGTAGTTGAGCAGAAACCCCAAATTAACGACCCAAGGTTACTGTGTAGGCAGAACATGCCTGCACTTTTTCTCGTGGATACGGCACGTTGGTCGTACGACCATGTCAGCAGCTCTTCTATTGTGTTAGAACCACGCAAATTGTGTCAGTACTGACACTGGAGATTGTATAGCTAGTGCAATTTAAGACTATTTAGTCGGGATCGCTCATCACGGCCGTCCATTCGAGGCAAATAATTGATGGGATGTAGGCTAATCAACTGACGGTTGTTACATTAGACGCTACGTGCACAAGAACTATGGGATGTCTTGCTTCTTCACTTCACTTCTGCGCTGTACAAAGCTCAGCGCTCACTGCATGTGGAGTTCATCCTCTTTAAGTTCTACTGAGTGAGCTGCGTCACTATCAAGTGACTTCCACAAAGTGTAGTGAAATTCTTTTTGAGCATGAGCTTCTTATGCTTGACCCTTTACACAGTTTCATATGGAGGATTAATGTAGCCTATTCGTGCAATTCGATTCAATGGTATACTCTCGTTCAAAGCACATTTATATTACAATAATCTCGCCTCTCAGCGCCTGTAAGCATGCCCAAATTGATCTATCAGTCAAGCAAAAGTACCTTCTTGTCCGACATCCCTCGTCCAAAGGAAAATTTCCTAGGTTTTGCATACCGCGTACTTCATCCTCTTTGACCAGAATAATGGGGCTGATGCAGAATCTGCTTTGGTGTAACCCTAGCAGTTAGCTCTGTAGTTCAGTGAACCAGCAATCCTACACACACGTCTTTTTAAATCCTTTTTGTGATCGAAAGACGGTTGACGGATTACTGGTTTGATCCATTTGATAGTGTGTACCATTTGGTGGGTTCCACTTATGCTAATTTACGATTCCTCAAGATATGTAATGCTTAGGCTCATTCATCCCCTAGTTTGTCGAGTACCGCGTTCAGTCATATGAACTTGTTAGCTATGACTTGTGTGATACTGAATCCCTGAAGTTAGCTTGTGTCGTGAACAGAATTGCTGTAGGCATAATGTGCCACTGCCTACTACACATAGCAGCTGGGTGGCCACACCACAGAGGGTAAGTTTAGTGGCTGATTGGAGCCATATGGCCTTATCACTTGTGTCGAATTCAGTCATAAGTATTGTCCCCGATGTTTACTGCAGCAGTAAACCTTTTTTTGGGTCATATTTGTGATACCCGAAGTCTCGCGGCAGCTAGCTGCCAGTTGCCTAAATTCTTTCAAATCTATTTTGTGGTTCCCTCACAATTCAACACGAAAAATTCTAATTATCGCAGAAACTCAAATCTGTTGTTCGGACGAATTTGGATATATTAGTTGGGAGGCTGAGGGTGTGGGCGACTCACTGATGCACTTTGTATTTCGTTGAAGGTGAGAACGTAGCACTGACTTTCCTTTTCCGGAAATTCAGAACTGTCAATTTGTATCCATCCTAGGAGTCTTTTTCGGCTGCTAATCTCATCAAAAGGTCCTTTTATCCGCTACGACTTCAGCTATTATTTGCTACTTTGGGTTTTCCAGTATGAATCTCATCTTTGAAATGCAAGTCATATAATCCATTATTTTGTGCGAGTTAGTCATCTTAGTACAAGTTCATGCACGAAATTTCATTTTCAGTCTCGATTTCAATCAGTTTCAATCCTTTACCAGTAGGTTGAGCAACTTTGTGTTTAATACAGTGAGGGAGTGCGTATCGTGTTGCAGTCTGAGATACCAACTGACGTCAGCGTGTACTAACTGTACCGTTCAGGTACAGTACTGTATTGTACAGTACTGTACTGTTCAGGTAATCTCTTTCTGACAATCAGTCAAGTCCCAATCGAAGCGAAATTGTTGTACAAAATACTTCAAGTAAGTAAGTATTGAGATACAAATTAATCTGACTGTGGTCAGATTAAATACTGAACCGAATGAGTGGGAATATTTTGATTGATTCATGATACCTAATTTCTAAAATATGTTATTTCATAATAATCTTAAGTATCTCAATTTTCGGTCAAAGTTATCAACTACTTCGCGTGTACCGATGCTTTTCGCATCATGATGATGGAAAGCATCTAAGCATAAGAAATCATGACATCTATCCGAAAGTCTGTGAAGGCTCTGAGATCCTCGTGTTTGATAACCTCTGTTGTGGGCGGACAAAACCTGTAAGCGCATAGATGTCTATCACTGGGACCAAAATGTGTGGCAATACACCTCGATTAAGAAATGTTTTAAAGCTGACATAGAAGGACATGGCCCAAGTGGTCATTGAAGCTGGTT